ACCGATATTCTTATTTGAAGCACCATAAATATAATATGTTTCCAGTTTCCTGCACAGCGGTGATTCACTTTAGTCTGGGTTACCAGGTTATGTTGCGGTTTAGGGTTTAGTTTTACCTCTTATTATTCGTAATTACAGCAGACTGCAGGTAATGACTGATTTTATTCATTAAATTGCTTTTGTGTAAATCGGAAACAGCAGAGAATTTAACTTTTTTTAAAGCAAGACACTCAAAAACCAGACATTTGTACGGTTTTGTGTGTTCACGTGTGTGTCTTGTTTTTAGTGCTAATGGAGGACGCTTGCGTTTTATTGGAGAGTTATGTGGAGATGCCAAACTCGGCTTTAGCTGCAGTTATTGGGTAGAGATTTGGAGTTTTACAGGCTTTCTGTTGATTCTCATATATGACAGTAGATTACGCAGAGGGAACGAGAGACTCCATGTTAATTAAAAGCACATGCAGGGAATTGTTTTATTGATTTCTTCTGGTTTGTGTTCGCTGTGCCACTGTACTTCATCTCACTTACCATCAGATCAACTCAAACAGCTCATTTCTGAAGTTTATTCATTTTTTTAACTATTAATGAATTCATTCAAGTCCATTTATTAATTAATATTTATTTATTTACCATAAAGTCCATTTATTTATTGTATTTTCTCCTGAAGACCATTGTTAATTTGCTAAGGATTTTCATTTATGTTCCCCTTTAGACAATTAAAGACAATTAAAATTCCCATTTACAATTTTAAAGGGTTAGTTCACCCAAAAATGAAAATTCTGTCAGTATTTACTCACCCTCATGTTGTTCCAACCCCGTAAGACCTTCGTTCATCTTCGGAACACAAATTAAGATATTTAAGATATTAGGATCGCTCCTGTATACAGTCCATAGGCTTCTTGAGGGACTGGCTCTTGCTGTCCTCGAAAAGTCATTAAAGACATCGTTAAAATAGTCCAAGTGACTACAGGGGCTCAATCTTAAGTTTATCAAACGACGAGAACACTTTTGTGCGCAAAAAAACAAAAAAATAACGACTTTATTTCAACTATTCGTTTATTTCTCCCTCTGCGCGAGTCAGGTTACTAGTTTAATAGCGTAAGCTTCTGTTATTGTACGTCACACACACATGACCAGCGTCGGCCAATAGTGAGCCTACGTGTGACGTAGCTCTACGCAATCACACTACGTTAACGGACTATAGGCTTATGGAGAAGGAAGTGAATAGTTGAAATAAAGTCGTTATTTTTGTTGTTTTTTTGCGCACAAAAGTGTTCTCGTCGTTTGATAAACTTAAGATTGAGCCCCTGTAGTCACTTGGACTATTTTAACGATGTCTTTAATGACTTTTCGGGGACAGCAAGAGCCAGTCCCTCAAGAAGCCTATGGACTGTATGCAGGAGCGATCTTAATATCTTAAATATCTTAATTTGTGTTCCGAAGATAAACGAAGGTCTTACGGGGTTGGAACAACATGAGGGTGAGTAAATACTGACAGAATTTTCATTTTTGGGTGAACTAACCCTTTAATTTCTTAAGGTTACTTCACCCGATCTCACGAGAATTCGTAAGAATTTTAAGAGGTGGCTAATTCGTAACAATTCGTACGACCTCACTCGTACGAATTAGTACGTTTTTGCTAAATCGTACATATTTTACGAATCGGCCAATTCGTATGAATTCGTACGAATGACCTACCCCTGACCCCGCCCCTAAACCTACCCAACACGTGGGTTTGGACAAATCGTACGAATTCATACGAGTGAGGTCGTATGAATTAGTACGAATTAGCCACTTTTTAATCGTACGAATTAATCGTGAGATAGCGTAGAGCGTGCCGCTCAAGCCTTTAAAGGGATACTCCACTTTTTTTTTTGGAAATAGGCTCATTTTACCACTCCCCCAGAGTTGAACAGTCGAGTTTTACCGTTTTCGAATGCATTCAGCCGATTTTCTGATATTTAGAAGAATATCAGTAACCAGACAGTTTCTGGTCTCATTGACTTCCATAGTATATTTTTTTTCCTACTATGGAAGCCAATGAGACCAGAAACTGTCTGGTTACTGATATTCTTCTAATTATCAAAAAAATCAGCTGAATGCATTCGAAAACGGTCAAACCCAACTGTTTAACTCTGTTAAAAAAAATAAATAAATAAAATGGGAGAACTCATTGTGATTTTATTTATTATAGACCATTAAGATGATCATATATTATTAAGCTATTGTTGGTTTGATGTTTTTGAAACTTCATTTTTAGTCCGTTTTTAATATTTTGGTCTTTCCCTATTCAAGTAGATAGGAGCTGTGTACTGATTTTTCCTCAGTGACGTGTTGTGTTTGCTGGATGTTTATATTGGCCGTTCTGAGACACTGCAGGCTTCTGTTTCGACATTAATGAACTAAAATGAGTTTATATACACTAAAATAACAAATACGGCACTTTGGGGAAAAATAATTGAACAGCTTGAATCACGTAAACTAAGCTAAACAACAAATCTTGTTAAGCTAAATAACAAATATCATTCTTTATTCCCTTATTTGTGTGTGTGTTCTTGATTCTGTGCGTGTGTTGTTTGTGTTATGGTCCAGGTTTGACGTTTTGTTAGGCCACATCCACAACACACAAGCGATCCTCACTGGTTCTGAACGCTTAAACACACACACGAGTGCCAGATCCTAATCAGAGCTCAGATTAAACTGACCACACAACTTCTTAGGCACAGAATACGTCAAACATGGCGTCAGATTCAACCATTTACTGCAGGGTTGAACGCAGGTTACATGGGTTTGTGGGAAGTGTTTTGCTGACCGATTGGAGCTTGATTTAATTAAAACATTAAAACTCCATCCCAATCCACTTTTGAATAACCTCAGGACCATAACAAAACCTGACATGGGTTCATATCCCAAGAGAGAGAGAGAGGAAAAAGAGCTAATCTGGTCTGCTAACAGTCTTTATCATATTAATATCTTCCTTCTTTTGACTTAATTTTTGCTCTTAATGTCTGTAACTCATTACTCTTTTATCTCTAAACTCTGTCTGTGAGTGTATTCTGAGGACTGAAAAGCGTAAGCTGCAGCTTGTCATGTGTGTGTTGGCGTTCACAGGATATCACAGCTGGATAAAATCCCATTTTCAATTAGCAAGATACAGCAGGATAAAAATCAACATTTGGAAGAGAGTTCAAAGCGTAATTAAATTCCCACCAACGTAGAAATTTGTAATATTTCGAAAAAAGATTTAATAATTATCCTCCTTCATGTTTGCTCTCTTGATTGAAAACTGATATATCAATTTCTGATTTTAACATTGCATCACCCAGAAATGAACAGACAGTATGGCTTTCTTCTGTGGAACACAACTAAAGATGTTAAGTATGATATATAATGCCCAAGTTGCTCTTTTTCAAGTGACAAAATAACAAAAAGGTTAAAAAAAAAAAAGACTACACAATATTAATTTAGGATTAACCTTCCCTTTAAAGCTGATGTGAGTGATTTCTGCTCCCCTAGTGTCACCACATGGTATTGCAATTTCATACAGGTGTCCCGAACACTTTGCCATTGGTCCATTTTTCAGCACATTGAGTTCTTGAGTTGAGCTATATAAAGAAAGTGGTAACACTTTACAATAAGGTTCATTAGTTAACATTAGTAAATGCATTAACTAACACGAACTAACGATGAGCAATGCATTAGTTACAGTGTTTATTAATCTTTGTTAATACAAATACAGCTGTTCATTGTGCGTTCATGTTAGTTCACAGTCCATTAACTAATGTTAACTAATACAAACTTTGATTTTAATAAAGTATTAGTAAATGTTGGAATTAATATTAACTAAGATTAATAAATGCTGAAGAAGTATTGTTCACATATTGTACATGTTAACCAATGTTAACTAATGAACCTTATTGTAAAGTGTTACCAGGGAAGTTATATGTTCGTTTAGATCAGTGTATTGGGTTATTTAACCCTGTAAAACCTGTCAAAAGCCTGAAATAATAGCATTTTTTTTTAAATGGAACATTTTATTTAAACTTTCGACTAAATATTCTGTAAACAAAAAAATCTAAAAATACATGTCTTTTTATTTTTCTCCCTGTTTAATCTTGTCTAGGAGAATCAATTGAGATAATAGAGATCTAATTTGTTTAGTTTCGTTCCTGTGGGTTGTTTTTGAATACTGGGTTTGTTAAAATAACTACTTCATAAGTACCAATCAATGCATTTAATACAAAGGATTCAGGAAAGTAACATGAATTAAACCAGGATAGTTTCTCTCTCTCGCTCTCTGGCGCTGTTCTGGCAGTCTTCTGTGGATCTATATTGAGCGTACTGAGAACAGATTATTAGCTCATAAGTGCACCACTCACATATTCATCTGACCGGATCAACAGTGCTAAACCCGACCCGAACCGCTGGATCTCACTCCGTGGAGGGATGAAGTTACGTGTGTATGTGTTTCCATGCAAAGAGTCAATGCATCTCCTGTTATATAACACACTCTTCAAGATGTGAGTGGCTATATTTAATGGACACAATTATATTCAGAAGCTAAATGTGATAAAACCTCCCTTTGGGAATATCCTTAAAGGTCAAAATGATTCTTAAATACATTTAAAGAAAACTTGAGAGATGTGTGAGATTGTTCTAGAAGGTCTTCAGAGATGATAACTGATATGCCAACCTCACACAGACACACACACCAAAAGTTCAAACCATAGTTTTAGTTTAATAACACACCACATCACGCAAGTTTCAAACCAAACCTGACCTGGTTTCTTTTAATTGACGCAAACCTAAATCTGTTTTCCCCTGCAGGCGAAATAATTGTTGAAGCGTTCAAAGAACTTCCACGCAGTTGTTCCGTGTCATTATAAATACATGCCTGTGATTTTATTGCAAACCACAGTTCGACGTTCCTTATGTAATGCCACTGCCAGCACTAGTTGTGAGTCATTAATGTTTTTGTCCATTGTTTTGTATTCCAACAGAGCTTCCAGTCTTCCAAAACCAGATGTGGCACCAAAGGTATGAGATTTACACACACATAAAGCCAGCGAGAGCGCACAACTGGAGTATTGTGAATGGATTGTTTGTGTGTATGTCATTATACCCCTCTAAGACAAACACACAGCTCTATATGTATGCATTAGTTTTAGTTTTGCATTGCAACGCGCCTCAGTTCAGTCTTATCGGTTGTCTTCAGAATAGAAAACTAGTACACTGCATATTGAACATTTAATAATGCATACTACCTATTTTTTTTCAAATATTATATGAAACCGTAATTATATGCAACTTGCAGTGTGCTAGGTGTCACATGATGCATGCTTCTCATTACAGTACATTGCATGTTTCATTTGGAAAGTTGCTGTCCATTTATAATCTCTTATCAGTCCCTCCAGGATTTCACGATTTTGTTTTGTGATTTTTGCGATCAAAATGACTGATTTTGTGGTGGTAATTTCCAAAAATTAGTGAAAAAATTTGCGATTTATATATAACATTTACCATAATAGTATTCAGTCCTTCCAGAAAAACGCTGAGTTTTTTTGTGATTGTTGCGGGCAAAAATTGATTGATTAGCCTGCTCGGCCCGTTTTCTTTAAAAATGCGATGGAATATGCGGGATATTTATGCAATTTTATGCGATGAAATTGCAGGAATTTGCAAAAATTGAGAGAACTTGCAAAAATTGTGGTTTGATGAAAAAGATTTCTCTTTTTCAGTGATTCCCCCAACATCCTGTTCTCACTAGGCTAATGTAAGAGTCATTTCTTATTACTTCCTTTGATAAGCAAGCATACTACATCATAGAAAGTGCTGGGAATATTTAATTTCTCATCTTGTTTTATTTCAGACTATAACGAGTGTAAATAAGGTGTGGCCCCTTTAAGAGCTGCTCTGATGCTACTTCTTTTATCTTATGTTGTTTATTAAGTAACGATGTGACGGTAGAACGTGTGAGACAGTTATACGAGTTCGATTTGTGAGATGTCAATCGCCTCCGTGAGTCTGTCCGGCGTCGCGTAATTGCGTCACTTCATAACGTTCCCATGGAAACAGGGGGAAATGGCTGTTCTTGTGTGAAGCAAACGGAACATTTTTTAACTTTCTACTAAAATACACGTGACTTTTTTTTGCAACGAAAATGCGAGGATTATGAAATTATGCAAACCCCGCATATTTTGCAAGGAAATCGGCAATTTATGCGGCGTAAGTGCGGCGTATTTGAAAAAATGCGGCCCCCGCATATGCGGACTTTGGCTGATTTTGCATTGAATTCAGCGATCGCATAATCGCGTTTTTCTGGAGGGACTGCTCAGTAATCCTTACTGTCGGTTCATGTCAGCAATAAATATCTGAAAATAATGCTTTTTCACTTGACAGAAATATTGCATAATACATGTACATTCTGTTTCACATACAATTTTTTAAATAGTATATACTGTGTGTGCAGTATTCAGTAAGTAGTCAGCTAGTATTCCATTCTGAACATTTTACTACACACTATTTAGGTTTACATAGGTGTAATAGCATCTGCTGAATAACCCATTCGTTGTTGTGTGCTATCTTGTCGTTTTGTTTGAGTCCTGCATGTGCTTTCATTTAGGATGTTTCTGTGGAAATCATCAAACCCGTCCCCATGACAACCTGCATTCCATCTTCCTCTGACATCACAAACTCCACCCACATCACTCCATCCTCCAATAGGGGCGCTCGTTCGTTTGGAGGGGCGGGGTCACCACACATAGCCTCCATTCCCTCCGCCGCATCTGCTTTTGCACTCGCCTCCTCAGCTCAAAGCCCTTATCCACTGGCTCCGCCTACTCCTACTGATGGCTCGCCAAATCATATACCGTCGGTGCCCCGCCCTTCGGTGTATAACACACCCATCTATCTCTACTCCAATGAGAATGCTTGTGAAGTTGCCATGGGCCAGAGGCGGGGTCTGTTGGAAAGCCAGGGTGAGAGCTCTCAGCTGAATGGGTAAGAGTTTGATTGACAATGTGATGCCCCTCCCACCCTATAAACTTATCCTACCTTCATGTGCTATCGGAAATTTCCTACTTCACACTTTTGAAGGTGAAATTACAAGCTTGTTGCATTAAAGAGCTTTGCTGTCGGAAAGAGCAGGAATCTTGGAGGACACCAGGTTTGTTCTTGCCTATTTATTGGGAAAATCGTATTTGATATTTTAGCGGTATTCATTGACAACCAAATAAACATTCACCGATCACTATGCTATCTGATGATTCTGGAATTTCGTTCAAATACAGGCTATTTCCGCTAAAATGTACAATACTCAATAATAAAATTATCCAATACAATACACGTACAAAATTATCACGAACTTCCCAGTGGTAAACATGACTTGAGAGGGCGTTCATATCCAATTTTTAAGTCGGGAAACTTGTGTTTACGATATTTCCGAAAGCATGTGATGGCAGCAATAGAGCTCAAAAGTGACACCAACTTTTCAGAGGTCTGGGTTCTGAAAGTAGATTTCCTATTCATTTTCTCCGTTTCAGAAAATACACAACCTACCAGCTCTGAGATGAATCACAACATTACAGCGTTTGATTTGAAGGAAAAACAAATTGTTACTATACAGTAAGACAAAGCCGCAAGACTTGCTGGGTCTCTCTGGTTTTAGGGAGGATTTGGGCATCTTTAAGCCGGTCAGACTGGGAGACCACCTGGTTCGTCTTTTGCTAAACCAGCTTTTTCAACCAGCTAAGTCAGGGTTGTTTTAGTTAACTAAAAAACATATTTTATTTCAGCTAGTTTCTAAAGAAACATTTCTCATTTTCATTTAGTTTAACAGGATTATTTCACTTTTAAAAAAACTTTTGCTGATAATTTACTCACCCCCGTGTCATCCAAGATGACAGTCGAAAATAAATTGTTTTTGATGAAAACAATCCAGGATTTTTCTCCATATAATGGACTTCAATGGGAACCAAACGGTTCAAGGTCCAAATGAGAGTTTCAGTTCAGCTTCAAAGGGCTTTAAACAACACCAATGAATGAAAGAAAATGAACAAATCTTTTTTTGAGTCACTTAGTTCATTTCGTTCGTTGAATGAACCAAATGACTCGAAAAAAGATTTGTTTTTTGATGAACAAGTTCGAACAGCAGAGTCACGAACGCGCATCACAGAACAGAGCAAGGCGAGCATTTGTGCTTATGAAACGTAAACTTTTTTATTTATTTTTTAAATGAGCGATCGTTTCTCTAGATAAGACCCTTATTCATCGTCTGGGGCCTTTTAAAGCCCTTTGAAGCTGCACTGAAACTCTCATTTGGACCTTGAACCGTTTGGTTCCCATTGAAGTCCATTATATGGAGAAAATCCTGGAAAGTTTTCATCAAAACCTTAATTTTTTTTCGACTGAAGAAAGAATGACATGGACATCTTGGATGACATGGGGGTGAGTAAATTATCAGCAAAAGTTTTTTTTTTTAAAGTGAAACAGGCTGCTCTGAAAACAAGCTCTTATAAGCGTGTAAATAAACACAGCACCACTGTTCATTCTGAAACACGCAGCGCATCAGATTACTCATTTCATTAATTAAATCACAGCTTTTTATTTGGTAATCACGATTTGATCAGTTTTATTTTGATTAATTGTGCAGCACCATTTGTTCATGTTAATGATACATTCAATTTAATTAATTTACAATCAATTTAATTGATTTACTTGTTCATAAACTCACAAATCCTCGTTTGGGAAACCATGCTAATGCAACAATATTAATGTTACAATCGGTTGCAGCAAGGAGGACCTACATGCAGCAGCAGCAGCTTTATTTAAACACTAACTCAATATTTCCATCCTTCCTCATTTTTGCAATTTTTCTTATTTGTTTAATATATTTTTTGGGGGGGTCTTTTTTCCAAAATGTTGTTTCATCGTCTGAAGACTCTGGCAGCATCTCTCTGTATCTCTTTTCGTTCAGTGACGTACAGTATGTGCGATTTAGTTTGTTTATGAGTGGTTGTCAGTGGCTCTGATGTACGTGTGTATATTTAGATCTGCGTAATGGTATCCATTCTGTGTTTTGGTGTGTGTGAATCAGGGCTCTCCCTTGGATAATGTCCCAGGGGAAGCTCAGATGTATTTCGAGTGTGTGCAAACCCCCCTTCTGGGTTTCATATTTTAATGATGGTTTTAAAGTGCTGATTGACGTTATTACGCAGAAGAACTATCTAATTACACATGCTGATGCACACACACGCACGTCTCATCAGATCAGTGTGTTTGTTGTGATGCATTTTGTTTGTTTCTAACAACTTTAATAGTATAATATCAGCCTGACAACAGCGCATATAATGGTTTAATCGCCCAATAAACCCGTTCTGCTTTTCGTTAAGTGCTTATAATGGCATACTATTTTTTTGCAATATGCAGTATGTGTACATTGTAGTATGCATGGGACACTGGGCTGACCTTGCTAGTATTTAATTCTGAGAGCATTACTGTATATTCACTTGATAAAGAGGAGAGAAAGAGTAACATATTAGAGACGTGGGAGAGAAAACGGACGAAAACCAAATGCTTCTCGTCATAGTGTGGTTCCTCCTCCCTCTCTTGTAAACTCTGATAAATCCTCCTCATTATCCTCATACAGCTGTACATTAAAGAGTCAAATCAGTGCCAAGCCTGTGTCTGTGATTTTTATAGGCAACTGTTGAGAAACCATATTCCTCCTTAATGCAACCCTGTGTGTACCTGGTTCTGGATACTGTACTTAGTTTGGATGGAAATAATTCTTCTGGATTGAGTTTGTCTTGCTCTTTCGACCGATATGGTGTTTTTAATGGCTGATGCTGATATCAATATCTTAAGAGCAAGGTGGCATATATATATATATATATATATATATATATATTTATATATATATATGAAGAGTTCAGATGCAAAAGCCTCTAAGTACCATTTGAAATTTTCTTCTAGAATGATCATTTTTATCAAGTTTGTATATTTAAGTTCAGTAATTTCACTTAAATGGCAATGAAGATTACCTATTAATTGTTATCTAAGTGAAATTACTGAACATAAATATACAAACTTGATAAAAATGATTATTCTAGAAGAAAATTTCAAATGGCACTTAGAGGCTTTTGCATCTGAATTCTTCATATATACAGGGGTTGGACAAAAAAACTGAAACACCTGGTTTTACTACACAATAATTTGTTAGAATGGTGAGGGCCTCATTTTGCATCCAAATACAGCACCAATTGACAGATAGAAGTCCTTCACAGTGACCAGAGGGATTATGAGCCGTTCCTCTTCCAGAACAGTGTCCAGGTCACTATATGATGCTGGTGGACTCGCTCCTCCAAAACACCTCAATAATATTCAGATCTGGTGACTGTCAGACCATGGGAGATGTTCAACGTCACTTTCATCTTCATCAAACCCTTCTGTCACAAGTCTTGCTGTGTGTGTTGGTGCATGATCATGAGCATCAGGTGCTCATGATCCTCCAGAAGGGTTTGGTAGTCCTCGGCAGTGTCGTGTCCATCAAATACAATCAGGATTGTCATGATATTGGAGCTCAAACCATCACTGATCCACCCGTGCTTCACTCTGAAGATTGGCCACCAGGCATATAGATGTGAAACCTCCAACATTGGCCAGTGTTTCAGTTTCATTGTCCAACCCCTGTATATCTGGAATATACAGTTTGTAATGTAATTTACAATTGCTTTATTTACACAATATTGAACACACAGAATACATTTGAGAACAGAAAATGTGCTCAATTTTGGGAACTGGTCTGGCCAATTTATTGATCTATCACATTTTTATGTTTGTCTACCAAACAAACTGAAAACTTAAATTTGCGATTAAGTTTAAAAAGTAATTTAAATATGATCCTAATAATAATATTTTATTTGTAAATATTATTATTTACCTAAATATTCTATATTATTCTGGAAATCTTTCTGGTCACTCACTATATACAGTAATTACTAAATGTACAGTAAATGCACAGTTAAATTAGCTGTTGTTTAATTCATTTGTATTTCATTTTCATTCATTTGTATTTGTGCCTCAACCATCCACATTTGACAGTTTGATTGTTTTTTAATGAGATCTATCTATCTATCTATCTATCTATCTATCTATCTATCTATCTATCTATCTATCTATCTATCTATCTATCTATCTATCTATATTTATATAATATAGTTTGTGTGTGTCTTCAGCTGTTGGTCTGTCTCAGAGGGGTTTAGGAATCAGTGTTGTTGTGTATATTGAGTTAGTGATGATTGTGTGTTTAATGGTTATTTTCTCCTCTATATGCTTTTCAGCAGATGACTCCAGCCATAAAGTTAGTACCAAATAGATGCTCCTTTCATTGTGTGTGTGTGTGTGTGTGTGTGTGTGTGTGTGTGTGTGTGTGTGTGTGTGTGTGTGTGTGTGTGTGTGTGTGTGTGTGTGTGTGTGTGTGTTGCCTAATATGACTAATATTGTTTTTTTTCCAGGGAAATTCCCAAATAATTTTTTTTTAATGGCAGCACTTTGCTTTTATTTAACTTTATTTAAACTTAAACACTAAGACTTATTATGACAGATAAATAAACAAAAAATAAACCAGTTACTGAGCAAATCATTAAAGTTTTACACAATCCCTTACAAAAGCTTACTGTGGTGACAAAGTGATGTATCATATGCTAATACCATGGTATTTGGATGTGTTTTGTAGCACTAAATGATTACCATATTCATGCTTTTTGGCAAAGAATACCATTGCAGTATCATGATTATACCATGTCCAAAAATAAAAACAGAGAATTACCATGGTAATGAATGACCGCCATATTCATGTCCCTTGGTAAAAAAAAAAATCATGGTAGAATTAGTACTTTTTTTTTTTTTATTAATGTAGTAGGCCTATCACTGATTATCTAACAATGACTTTTAAAGGTAAAGTTCACCCAAAAATGATAATTCTGTCATTATTTGGCCTCCTGTCATTCCAAACCCCAAAGATAACTCTGTGCCTGCCTCCATTGACAGCTACACAACTACCAATTTGACGTTTCAAAAAGTTTATTAAAGATATATCATAAAACTAATCTATATGAATTGAGCGGTTTAGTCCAAATTTTCTGAAGAGACTCGATCGCTTTATATTTTGAACAGATTCGATTTAGGCTTTTCTTCACATAAAAACATTGATCAACGAACATAAACAAAAGCTCAACCGAACTTGGTTCTTGTTGAAGCTCAAACGTGGGTCAGGGTTAAAATTATCCCATATTTTATTTAAAAATATTTTCATATGTGTTCCGAAGATGAACGAAAGTCTTATGGGTTTAGAACGACATGAGGGGGAGTAATTGATGACGGAATTTTAATTTTGGGGTGAACTATCCCTTTAATGCAGAGCACACACGCAAGCAAAGTAAAGCTGGGTTTGTGTTTCATTGTTTGTCTGTTTTCATTGCATGAGCTTGACGTGAGTTTGATGATATGCATGTCATGTTCTAACTGAGATGTGTTTTATCGCAGTGGTGGTCTTCAGGTAGCAGCTTTTTTTACTCGCATATCAGTTTGTCAAACACACGGGCTTAGCAAATGAAACCTGCCAACACTCTTTCGTCACACACGCGGTCCTCAGCCTTACAGCGTTGATTTATTGACAGCTTATGAATGCTGTACGTGTCAGTACAGACGGGCTTTGGCACGATCAACATGTACTGGATGAAAAAGTTGTTTTTTGAGAGATTGGATTGACTAGCTTGTAGATTTCGGACGTTTTACTGAAAGCTCAGACTTTTGCATGTATTTTATTCCATGTGCAGCAGCGCCATCTTCTGGTGTGTCATGCATTTTAAACTTTAATTTCCTCAACTACAAAGTTTCTTTGACGATTTTAGAACTTAAAAGCTCAAGTTTTTGGTTAAGATGATGTTCACTTGATTCATTTTTTAATCTAAATTAGTACTTTTTGAATTCAAGTTACTTTACAGGTTTTACTATGGCAAATACAGGTCAGAATACCATAGTCACAGCAGTAAAACTGTACAAATGTACTTGATAAAAAAAGTACAGGACAATTATTGCACAGGTTTATTAATTACGAGCCTGTTGCATGCGTTTATTTCCGTGTGCATCTACTGGTCTAGTGCATTTCTAACTTCCATTGCTTAAACTACAGAGGTGTTTCATTTTCTTGGGAGATTTTGAAACTTAAAGTTTTTAACTAAATGAATGCTTTTTATATTCAAGTCACATTACAAAGATTACCTTTGGTAACCACACAGTTGGCCAAAATACCATAGTTGTACTCAATATTAATATTAATATGTGTTATTAATTGCAAAAGTTTAATTTTAATACTCATTTTCATATCAATCATGAGGCTGTGGCACATGTTTTGTTTCATGTGCAGCAGCGCCATCTACTGGTCGAGTGCATTTATTCCAACTTTCATTTCCTCAACTTGAGTTCATTACTACAGTAAAGCTATGTGAATTTACTGGATATTAGTAATTACAGGAAAACTGTGAACGTTTTTTTTTTTAATACTCTACCAACGGTGATTTTACAGTAGACTACTAAAAACGCAGTATTTTGGCAGAAGCTATGGTTATCATACATATTTTAGTAATATTTGACTCAAAATGCCTCCAAAAGCTGTCCGTTATGTGATGACGATTTTTTATTTGATTCTTCATAGTGGTCCTCCAGCTGTGTCTAAGTGAGTACATCTGTAATGTGTGTAAAACTCATCTGATTGAGAATGATTACAAAGTTTTAACTTTCTTATTCCTTTTCTTATGCCTCCTTCCTCGTTCAGAAAACCTCCAGTTTACAGGTAAAGGGGGATAAGCAGCAGCAGTGTTCTTCTCACTCAAATTCTCAGTTGCTTCATTTGATGTGCAGCATGATTACATGTACACACGACTAACAGTCAGTATCTCTCTTTGTGTGTGTGTGTGTGTGTGTGTGTGCGTGTAGACTTCCTCGTAAGCCTATCACAGAGACAGACATTGAGTTTTACCACATCCCAACTCACGGTGATGCCAGCAGGAAACGCATCATGGAGGACACGGAGGACTGGCGCCCACGGACAGGAACTTCACAGTCCCGATCCTTCCGGATCCTGGCCCAAATCACCGGCACTGAATCTGAACTTGGTGAGAGTGGGAAAAAAAATATTCAATAATAAAAAAAATATTTAAATAATATATATATATATATATATTATTTTATTTGATTGTTCCTTTTTTGTAGTTTTTTTTTATTTGCAACATCTGATTTATTTATTTTTTATAAATGTTTTTCTAGGTCCACTTATTTCATTTAATTATTAGATGTAGAAATTAGTAATGTATTGATTGCAACACACTTTTATGTTAGAAAAAAATATGCCCTCATTTATTATTTTATATATTTTATTTTATTATTTATATATATATATATATATATATGAAGAGTTCAGATGCAAAAGCCTCTAAATGCCATTTGAAATTTTCTTCTAAAATGACCATTTTTATCAAACTTGTATATTTAAGTTCTGTAATTTCACTTAAATGACAATTAATAGGTAATCTTCATTGCCATTTAAGTGAAATTACTGAACTTAGATATACAAGCTTGATAAAAATGATCATTTTAGAAGAAAATTTCAAACGGCACTTAGAGGCTTTTGCATCTGAACTCTTCATATATATATATATATATATATATATATATATATTCTGGAACCCGATATTGATGCATTATATACATTTTGGTCCTAAATTAAAATGTTGGTCCTCATAATAAACAGGCAGAATGCATTTCTGTGTAAATCGTTCATAAAAACATTCTTAGATAAAATGCCCCAATTGAATTCAATTTCACAGTACTATGCGTAACAATGGTTTTACAATCCATTTACACACACATTTGCTCTGCACATGTTTCATGAATGAGGCCCATTGTGTGCAAAACCTTCAATACTGATTCTGAGATTAAGATTGAAATTGAGATTTTAAACAGGAATTGTGATGTTTTAAATTGAATTTCAGTGAACAGGAGGAAGTAAGAGAATGTGAATGTGTCTTTACCTCTATCTATCACACAAAAGCATGTCATGATGAATGTTTTCTGTTTCTCTGTATCAGATCCCTCACATGAGGCTGAATCTGCAAAGAAGACAACAAAGTAAGTTCCTCTTCCTGCCAGTGTGTGTTTGCTCGTATTTGTTTGGGGTCGCTGTACCGTGTGTGTGCTGTTTTTGACCCGTGTGATTTTGACATTTTCTGGTGTTAAAGCTCTGGCTCTAGTTAACCAGCATGTGCAGATCACAAATAGTGCACAAAAATAGTGTTTTTCTTTATTTCTCAACCCTGAAAAAGACCTTTAGAAAATGTCAATCTTCAACCTCATAAGCGTTTTAATTTATTTTCTGTTTCGGTTTGCAATTTTGCAACCTTTACTAGACTATTTGTGTGATTTAGTAATTTTGTTGTAATAATAACCATTCAATATTTAACCCTTTAAAGCTTTATATATAAAATAATAGTCAGATTTTTTTTTTTTTTTAATGGAACGGTTTATTAAATCTATATTTTGAAAAAAATCTAAAAAATGTTTTTTGTGTGTGCGTTTTTTTTTTTTTTTTTTTTAAAGTACCGTATTTTAAATATAGGCTCTTATTTTATGGCTCATATAGTACGATATAGTGAGAAGAATAAACACCAACATTTTCTTCAGAGGCCCAAACTGAGCAAAAATATGTAATTTGATGTGTAGTTGCTGATATATATTAACAAAATAAATATAACACACTAAAATTAATATAAATATTAATTGTCACTATGTATCTCCCAATAATATGCGATGATATTTAAATGCTTAGTTTTACAATACAATGATAATTGAGAGGTGAACAAATAAACGTTCCTCTAAAGTCTGATTGATATTCACATTTTAAAAGGCCTTTTATAAAATAAAATGGATGAATAATCAAGTAAACCTAAGTTGCTTTAGTCCAGTTAGTGCTGAATTATTATTAATTGAAATATGGATAATAATATAAAAGTTATTCTTATGTCGACTTTACAAAAATCAGTAAATATTTCACAGTAAAAAGACACGAGCTGAAGGGAGCATGAAGTTTTCAACAGGGTTCTCATAAAAGTTTTAATCTTGTTGATAATTTAAAGACCTTAGAAATTTGTGTATCAAATTTGATACAGTATGCAATGCATTATAATGTCAGATTAAATAGACAAAATGTATAAAATAGTATAGTAACTAATAAACATATTCTCATAGTTAAAGAGATCTTTAATTGAGCTCATTAAAGATCAATTCCAAATATTCAAATAAGGGTTTCATTGTTGAGATTGATGAATGCGGTCAAAGCTAAAATTTGTGTAAAAATCTAGAAACTGTCGTGAGATTATTATTTTGCACTTCCACATATAAGCAATATTGGGAGTATTATAGTTATTATAATACAGTGTGTGTTGTGTATCTTTAATGCTTGTTAGAGTGAGACATCAGGCAGATTATAGGTGTGGGACTGACTTACAGATGTGAGTTTGAAGTTGGGCGGGGCTTGATTTTGTCCATGGGGAACTTGATTGGATGGTTGGATGGTTGTGGTTTGCTATTGGTGGATCTCATTCGAGTGACAGGTTGATTGTCAATTTTGATTTAGTGTGTTGACTTTAATGTGTTTGTAGTGCCGTTTTCTGTCTGCATGGTTTATCTGAGTGCCGTTGACATCCACTTCTTGAGCTTTTCATACTGTCCTGTTTCTGTTTTTCTCTCTCTTGTTCATTCCCTGTGAACAGGGTTATGAAGATTAATCCTGAGATTGGACCCAAATATCATAAGCTCAGAGACTGGCACCATGGAGTGTCTGCTCGAACCCTTAACGTCCTCAGCCTGTTGTAGATGTGTGTGTGTGTGTGTGTGAGTGGGTCTGTGTGGGATGCTTCTAATCTGAAGAGAGACTGTGACCAGTGTTGTGCAAGTTACTTCCAAACTGTAATACATTCGGTATTACTTGTTACTGTTATTTAAAAGTAATTCATTACCTTACAATATTACTGTCCCAGAATTGTAATGCGTTACATTACTCATGTATTACTTTTGAGTTACTTTCACCAAAATAACTAAGTAGAACTTAACTTTTGGGCTGTAACGATATGCAATATGAAACCGAAATCGCGATTCGCCACACGACTCAGATCCACGAACCTACAGAATCGCGACACACCTCTTCCAACTCCAGCGTTATTCTCCTTACCGTCCATATCCAATGCTACCATACCTTAAAATTAGGCTATTAGTATTATTTGAAGTTAACATTATAAAATACGTAGACCTACACCACAAAACTAGTTGAGGATAAATTATTTAAAATTGGGGAAGTCCAGCATTATGGACATGACATTTGCAGTCAAAACTTGAAATAAAAATTCTCAGAAAATACATGTATTGAAACGTATATAGGCTACTTCCTTAAAGGACTCCAGACATTAGACAAATATCAGTCTATGTTTTATTTTTAATATTAGGGAAAAGACACACATTCATGCGTGACAAAAAAATAGGAGGCAAAATATATTTTTTGTAATTCTGTTAATTACACTGCGCAAATCAGATGAGGAAGGGTTGGCTCTCCAATCTCCATAGAACTTAAAATATTCATTTTATTCTAGTTTTCGTGTTCGTGTTCGCATTTATGAGGAAAAAACAATGTTACAGACGCGACCGCTCTGAACTGGCACTAAAAGACTGCTTTAAAACTTTCACATAGTCTGTTGCCTTTAAGAAGTAAAAGCAGACAATACACTGTAATACAACTGTAATACAAGCCTCACTGAACATGTAACGAGTAAAATATTACTGAAAATTGATTAGTAATGCCTTACACTACTGCGTTACAGCAAAAAGTAATATGTTACTGTAATGTATTACTTTTGTAATGCGTTACTCCCAACACTGACTGTGACTGAAGCTTTATCAGAAAAACTTGTGTGTGTGTGTGTGTGTGTGTGTGTGTGTGTGTGTGTGTGTGTGTGTGTGTGTGTGTGTGTGTGTGTGTGTGTGTGTGTGTGTGTGTGTGTGTGTGTAGATTTAACCCTTATGCTGCATTAGGGACATTTTTGGTCTTTTGCAGTTTAATTTCTTTGACCATTTTGGCTGTTTTAATGCAAATGGTATGAAATTTGGCAAAATTGTGACTTTTTGGATACATGTAAAAAAAGTGATCCCATTTTGCAAAATATGTATAACACACACTGTGTAGATCAAATAGTAACACTCAGCACCATAAAGACCAAAAATGGCCCATTGAAACCCATTAAAACGTTGTTTAAATCTGAGGCTGTCAGTAATACATGAAACATGATTTTTGCACAAACATCCTTTCATTTTGAAGCAAAAGCATTATATTTGCATTATATAGTGTATTCCACAAGATGACGTCACTACATATTTATTCCCTATGGGTGGAAATGCACCTTATTTTAGGCAATAGGCAATGTTTAATAGGTGGCCATTTTTGGTCTCTAACGCGCTAAGTGGGATTTTTTGCAAAGTGGGACTGTGATAATCCAAATCTAAAGTTTTCTCTTTGCATTTAGTTTATTGAAAATAATTGAATTTTTGTGTTTTTTCCTCTTATACAAATCGATGGTTTCGCAAACAAAACTGGTAATTAAAGGGTTAAAATTCTGAAATTGAATACATTTTTGGTAGTTATGATGAGGACTGATGCTGGTTAAAAGATTTAACTTGGTAAAAGTGGAAAATAATAATAATATATAATATTTTAGGCAATGTTTAATATGTGGCCATTTTTGGTCCTTAATGCACTCAATGGTGTTAAAAATCTAATGCAGCACAAGGGTTAAGGCAGCGTGTGTTGTAGCTGCGCTACAGTATTACACATTTGGCTTTCTGTGAGGTTTCAGCTTTTGATCTTTTGGTTCCTATATGAAGGAACGTTCTGGGCATAATATACAACTCCATACAACATCTGTAAAATAATTTCACCTCATCTGTCAGTTCAAACAACTCAAACTCCGCATTTAGAGAAATGCATTTATGGACGTCTAGAAGGAAATACGTTCTACGGTGAAATGTGCAGCTCATGCTTAATAGGTTTAGTTCTTTATTATTTTGGTTAAAATGATTCTTCTACTTCACAGAATGTGTCTTAATTGCATGCTCATGTCATGACACAAGATCTAAATGCAGTTTTATGACACTATCTTAGCATGTTTCTCAAAATTGTGTTTATTTGAATATTTATTTGGTGCCCTATTGACTTCTATTGTGTTTGCGTTGCTGTAAATATAATTTATTTTTAGAAATTTTCTGTCACAGATGCTTTTCAACAACGTTTTAGACCCAGAACATTCATTTTAACACGGCTGATTTTTATTTCATGCTTGAAAAATGTACAATTTATTTTCATTCATCATTTAATTCCTTTCCTGCAAAATTAGAATAAAGTGGCCTGTATTTCCTGTGGCTTTTTCTCTATTTCTCCTCCTTTGTGTCTGTTTTTATCTATTTCTTTCTGCTTTTCCCTCTGTTGCGGCACTGAAATACATCATATCCTGAAATCCAATCCCAGTCAGTTCTGTTCACTGTAAGATCCACGAGTATAGGATTATTTAGCACAACAGATGTTATTGATATTGTTAATGATATTTAACTGACCAGTTGCATAAGTTATGTCATTAATTATTCATTTAAAAGACCCACTTTCAATTTTCACAGTATAAAGATCCAGTAATGGTTGTTATGACTTATGACTGTCCAAATGGGTCATAAAGTCATAAAGTTTTATTCACAGTAATAGGAAAAACAGCTTCACGCATTTAACTTCTGTAATGTTGTGAAGCAACATATTTGATCAGAAATTATATAATACAATTGGTTATTGTACTTCCCCCATTCACATGACTTTGGTTTAAAGGGATACATTTTACAACTCCCTCAGAGTGAAACAGTCGAGTTTTACCGTTTTCGAATCCATTCAGCCGATTTTCTGTTATTTAGAAGAATATCTCTAACCAGACAGTTTCTGGTCTCATTGACTTCCATAGTATATATATGGAAGTCAATGAGACCATAAACGATCTGGTTACTGATATTCTTCTAAATAGCAGAAAATCGGCTGAATTGATTCAAAA